ATGGTGATAATAAAAAGCAAATCAACTTTCAGTTATAGAAATGTTTTTAAATTCTGTACAGATAATATACTCTCTCCTTTCCTGCTCCAAAGAATTGATCCTACCAGCACACGCTTAGCCTAGCACTATGTCAATTATTCCAATAGGCCCAACTTTTCCATGCTTCAGATTCTCTACACTTACTCTGTCTGGAACACTTTTGCCTCAAGCTTCCCAAGACTGGATTCTTATTCCTCATACCTCAGCCCAAATAACACTACCTAAGGAGAGGTCTCCAGGTCAAATCTAGTTAAATATATGTACTCCTTCCCACCCCTCTTGTACACTATTTCTCTAACCTGTTTGCTTCCCTTATTCCTCTTTTAACTATTTATTTTTTTTCATTTGTTTGTTTATTTTTCACATTGTTAGCTACAAGAGGCCAGGGACCACATTTATTTTATTTACCACTCTATACCAGCTACTAGCATGTGCCTAGAATATAATATGTGTTCAATAAATATTTATTGATCCAATTAATGGATGGGTGAATGAATAAATGAATGCATGTTTACAAACTTTCCGTCCTCTTTTCTGCTCAAACATTAAAGTTATCATTCCCTTTTTAAAATGTGACTTAGAGCCACATTATAATTTCTAAAATTACTTACAATATTCAAGGAAGAATTAAACTAATCGGGGTAGAAGATCTTGGGCATTTTGCACATATATGTGTTTTTTGTTTGTTTTCATACAGGAATGCCAAAATTTGTTAGGGTTTCAATATTCAAACAAAGTAGATAGGAAGAATCGATAAGATGGTGAAGGAGGCATTTTTCCCAATTTTCCTTACCTTTCCTTTTTCTGTATCACAGAATGGCACAAGGTTGACTACTGAAGGGGATGTCATCCAGTGCTCTTGTTTTATAGATACAGAAACTGTGACTCAGAGGGATTAAGTGTTTTCCCCCAATTCACACAGAGTTTCTGGTACAATCAGGACTAAATTCTAGGTTTTCTTGACTTGTAGTCCAATGGCCTTCCCATTTGTCACAACTCTATCCCTGTCTGCCAGAGTTCTCCTCCTCAACTATACTGGCTCTCATAAGAAGGCCCTCCTCAGCCTAAATTAAGGTACCCTGGTGGCACAGTGGTTAAGAACTTAGCTGCTAACCAAAAGGTCTGCAGTTCAAATCCACCAGCTGCTCCTTGGAAACCCTACAGAGCAGTTCTCCTGTGTCCTATATTGTCACTATGAGTCGGAATCGACTCGACTGCAACAGGCTTGGTTTTTTGCTTTTGTTGGTTGGTGGTACAACAGTAAAAGCACTCGGCTGCTAACTGAAAGGTATGCAGTTCAAACCCATCAGCCATTCTGCAGGAGAAAAGACCTGGCAATCTGCTTCTGTAAAGATTACAGCCTAGGAAATTCTATAGGGCAGTTCTACTCTGTCACATGGGGACACTATGAGTCGGAATTGACTTGAGGTCACACATCAACAACCTAAGTTGCTTTCTTTAGACATTGTGGTTTTTCAAACTGATCCGTTTCTTCTTTGAACCATATGTTCTTTTTCTATAGTAACACCAGCTTCTCTGAAAAATTGATACATTCCCAAAGGATTAATTTAGGGTCAAGCGCGCGCACGTTTGTATGTGTGTACACATATACCAGTGCTTCCCTCTGTTCATAGATAACCTTATAATTAGAACTTCCCAAAGTTTAAAAGGATACATCGTTATGATTTGACTTTCAGGACACTCCTTTTGGGGCCTGTTTCTGAAGCTGACAAGGTCAAGAGTCTACAGAACATTCTATAGACCTCATGAGCATGAAGCTTGGGCTCTTTGAGTTAAGTTCTCATACATCTTCCTTCTTTCCACTTTTTGTAATGCTTTGCAGTGAGGTAGTTCTCTTCTGCAGAATTTAAGTAGAGTGTACCTCATTGGAACCGGATTCAATTTACTCCATTCTTCCTATTAAGGGAAAGGGGAAATATATCCTAGTGGCAAAGAGCACTGGCAGAATAGCAGAGTGGTTAAGACCAACTCCTTTGTGGAGTATGGTGTCCCTGTTGAGATAGGAAGTTGAAAAAGAACTTTTTTATGTTCATCAGTGATATAGGAAGAATTTCCCTGAATGTACAAAGCTAAGTCTTATATTCAAGCCCCAGTATGCCCTTTCTAACTACATAACTTTGGGCAAGTTACTTAAGCTATCTTTGCCTCAGCTTCCTCATTTTTAAAATAGGGAAAATAATACTGATCATCTTACACGGTTGCTGGGAGCATTAAAAGAGTTAATACATATAAAATACTTGGAATGGCACCTGGTATATAACAAGCCCTCAATAAATACTAGCTATTACTGTAAATATTATGAACAAATATGTTTGATAAGGACTTAAATGAATCAGCCTTGTTTAAAAGTGCAGCTTACACAGTTACAAAGTTAAGTTCTCTCACAGAGCTCTAAGCTTATTATCTCCTAAGATTTTAGGGCCAACTCTGGGATATTCACTCATTCTCTCCTTCTTTCTAAAACAGCATAGCGCATAACTATGACCAGTGCAAGGCTCTAAGGAAAAATGGTTAGTCTGTGTCCCAATCCAGAGTAGCTTCCCACACTCAAGGTAGGAATTAGAACTTTGCAAAAAGTAACATAAAAATTGATGCTTTGAGGCCTCATGGGAGCAGGGAATGAAGCAGGAGTGGATGGCTCTTGCTCTTGCCTTAATCAGTGACTCACAGCTTCTACACCTGGGAAAGCAGTGACTGGTACACGACAGATGAGAGACTGGAATATGATAGATGAGTAGGTTATGCATAAATATTTGTGAGATTACTCCAGAACTTCTCAATCTCTTTAAAATCACAGATAGGACAGTCCTACCCCAGATCTTCTGGATCAGAATACTAGTGGGTGAGACTAGGCTTTTTTTTTCTTTTTTTTTTTTTTAATTCTACATATAAATTCCACATGCACCCACAAGAAACAACCAAACGAAGCTTTGTTCCAGTCTAAAAGAACTTAGTCCCCTAGCATTTTCCATATATTACCAGGTCAGGTTATTCTAGTCCTTGACATTCCATAGCACAGTGATAGTGCAGATATCAAAAAGTTGACATCAAGATGAAAACCTGCTTAGGTCAAGGCAAATTGAGAAGTTATTTGCCAAAAGGGTAGACAACAGTTATTTCTAGAAATGGCTAAGACTTTCTAGGTGGGTCATGTGTTTTATATTGTTGACATTAGAGTAAGTGTACAAGTGAGCAGAATCAAATGTAAGGGCAGAGAATCTACTTCCACTTGTGATATGAGTTGCAAGGCAACAACATTTATTTTAACAATATCTTAGATTATCCTTGATTCAATATTAATTGTGAGCTTTTGAAATTTACTTTTGAGTTTCTAGGTAAGTTAGGGTTTTGTGTGTGTGTGCACGTGAGCATACGTATGCAGGTGTTGTGTTTGTTTCTAAATATGATAAATTCCAAGTGGCTTTGTACTTAATATATCTGAAAAGTAAAACACTTAGTCCACTTCCAGAAATATTCTCATTTAATACTTAGAAGTAATTCAACATGTCTTGCCTTGCCTTGACTCAAGCCACTTGCCAACTCAACACCCAACTAATAGAAAATTGCACTGCTCTCACAGAGACTTTTTTTTTTAATGCAGTTGTTCCCAAGATAGAGACTATAGCCTTGCTACTCACAGTGTGGCCCATAAACCAGCAGCATCAGCATCACCTGGGAGCTGAAATGCAGAGTCTTAGGCTTCACCCAGCCCTACAGAACAAGAATCTGCATTTAAACCAGATCTTCAAGTGATCTGAATGCACATTAAAGTTTGAAAAGCACTAGCTTAGAGCATCTGTTTCTCTCTGCATCAGTGGTAAAGTGATCGCCTACATTAGAATCATCGGGGATGCTTCTCCAAAAAGTAGGTTTCTGAATGGCAACAGGCTCTCAGGGGTGGGGGCCCTTGAAACTGCATTTTTCACAAATTCTTCATCTTCATGCTTATGCAATCTAAGTTCGAGAATTATTAGAGGAGCATTTTAGAACATTGCTTATGTTATCATTTTCATATATATGATCTCTTCACGAAACTGTTACTGAGCAAAACATACTTAGAATTAAAAAACCATCAGACAGCACATTTTACTGTAGAAATATCAGTCAAGCACACACGCACACACCACATTAAAAATAACTGCAAATGCAGAGAAGCTGCCTTTTCAACTAGAAGTTCAAAACCATCCAAGGAGGTATTGTTGAACATCTGCATTGGAATGCAGATGAACTGGTTAATTGTGTAAGAGAGGAGAGGAAATAAGTCATAAATCATAATGTCATTAAACGTCTTGTACTCTTGTTTAAACATTACTCTCTTGTACCTTCTTTGAAACATTATTAAAAACTCACTGATTCGAATAGGTTACTTTCCATACAGGAAAAAATATTTTGTGCCCATCAGATATGAAGAAAATGTTTGAAGTTTTACCAGAAAAAAACTAAAAATATCAAAAATGTATTTTGTTTTTATTGCTCTTCGACACAGTGATAATCTTTATCAATAATTACTAGAGGTAAATTTCCTTTCGAAGTTGTTACTCTGTCTACACAGTTTCATCAAAGAACCAGTCAATCTGTGTTTAGAAAATCCAGTTAGGTACAATTTTCACTTTTTCTCTGATCTTTGAATCAGAAAATCACAACTCAAATTCCATTTTGCAAGGTTCAAGTTACCTCTGCAAACATCTGGACATAATGAAATGTGTCCCATGTAGCTCTCTACTTAGATCTAGTTAACATTTTAGCATTGCAAAAATAATTTTCTATAAAAATACATCAAACAGATTAACATATAGGACTTAATTTTCTCTGACTTAATGCTCACACCGAAAGTTAAAGAGAAGAAAAGGAAACATATCAGGCAGGACAGGAAATTAAATTTCAAAAGCATGAGCAGTACAAAACACCTTTGGAATCCTACTCCTAGAAAGGTTACCTACCTCAGAGTATAGAATTCCCATGCTGGTTCTTCACAGACTTATTTCACCTCTAAAGCTTATCTTCTGGAGGTATTTCTGTTTAATATCAGAACGCTTCCCAGCTGGAAGAAGGGTCCCTAGAAGCCCAGGCCGGGGGCAAGCCCTTTCTTTCCAAACCTGTGTGTGCTTTCCCAGCAACTCTGGCAGCAACACACTTTCTAGAGTGCCCAGCCCAGTGAAACAAAGGCATTGGTTCACAGTACAATCACCCAACCCATGTATCATCTAATGTTACAACCCTGAGGAGCCAGTTTCTGAGTCATATTTGCTCTGCCAATAGTAGCATTCAAGACAAGAGAGAAGGAAGCCAAGTTGATGGGGAAAGGAAAGTTCTCACATTGGCAGGAAGTTTTCAGGGTTCAAAATACAGCACTGTAGTTGGGACATTTCCTAATTGAAATCTGGTTGTCAGGGGTCATTGGGAAAGGCTAGAGAACAACAAACTCACTTGTGAGAGCCAAACATGTCTGACAAAGGGTATAGATTGAGAGTTTTGAAAAGTAGTCTTCAAAATTGTCAATATGAATTTTTTTTGTATTTTTAAACACAGATAAAATTATGTATTATTCCTTGAAGCTTTTGACTAATATAAACTAATAAAAATAAATAACAAATTAAGGTCAATTTATAAATTATGTGATTTTATAGAAACAGTGTGCTCACAATCACTTTCGAGAGCATGCTGGAGCAACTCAAATGGAAGAATTAAACTCTTTGAAGAATCAGTCCCATTTACATCCTAGTTGATTATATTCCCTTAAAAGGTTTAAACTACACTAATAAAGTTAATATATTTCATTTTCCTTTTGAAGCACATCAATTTCCAGTTACTTAACCATCTTGTAAATATAATAAACTTACCAATATAATAAATCTTAAGTTGTCTTCAACATTCCAATACGATTTATAAATCTAGCCAAACTATTCTATAACATTCAATTAAAAAATCCTAAGTTTAAAATCAATAGATCTATTACATATTTTAAATTGAGTAACCAGGCTACTTGATCAAACATTCCACATTTTCTTAAACATTGTGAACACTTTATATATTAAATATAATACCAAATATTCACATATTGTCTCTGAACTAAACACAATCATATCAATATTTTAAGATTTACCAGAGTTAAAACTTCCCCCACTACCACCCCCCACCCCACACACACAGGCGTTAATGGAACAGTTCAACCAACCCAAGTGAATTGATATGATTGTCCCAATCACTGTGGTTCCTTAGTGGCCAGAGATTAGGGGCCACGATCCAAGGCCTGTACCTATACACACCCAGGAAAATTCTTCCTATCCCACTGATGGACATACTGAGCTATTTTTGTAATTGCTTTACGGTAAAAGCCAACCTCCCAGGAATTTAAGAATTAACTAATTCTGTTACAGGATGTGGAAATCTGCAATGCCCACTAAGATTGCAACTGGCTTCCTCTTTGACTTCGTCTTATTTTGCATTTCTTTAGTCTGTGGAGACATTTCAGGGTCTTCCCATTGACTTGAAAAATGTAATGTAATTTCTACTTGGTACTTCACTCTCTTATGCAAATCTTTTGTAACCTCTTTAGTCTTTTGTAACGTCTTTTAAGGACTCCTTTGTGGTGCAAGCAGTTAACCGGCTTCCCTGTTCACAGAGAGGTTGGAGGTTCAAATCCACCTGGAGATGCCTTGGAAGAAAGTCTTGCCAATCTACTTCCAAAACATCAGCCACTGAAAACCCTATGGAACATAGTTCTATTCTGAAACACATGGGGTCACCATAAGTCAGAACGGATGGTGACTGGGGTTTTTTAACCTCTTTTAACTGATTTATGTGGAGTTCTCTCTTCACTCTCACTGACTCTCTGCTAAAGTTGCTACTAGCTTCCTGCACCAAGCTCTTTCCCCCTTGACAGAACTCTGAAGATTTCTTTAATTTTCTGTCAAGACCACAACTCATCTTATTGGATTCTGCATCTCCCTCTCGACTGTTTCCAATTCTAAAGGTACAATACTCATTATAATTGTGAAAGATTAACTCTTTCATTGTAGGATTAGCTCTAAAAACAAACCATTAAAAAAACATTGACTCATTGCAATTTAATACTTGCATTTAACTCTAGGTCAGTGGTGCTCAATCAGAAGTGATTTTGCCTCCAGGTAGGGTTGCCAACGTTAGCAAATAAAAATACAGGACATCCAGTTACAGGTCAACTGAGAGATACCTGTTGCCGTTGAGTCAATTCCAACTCATAGCAACCCTACAGGACAGGGTAGAACTGCCCCATAGGGTTTCCAAGGAGTGGCTGGTAGATTCAAACTGCTGACCTTTTGATTAGCAGCTGAGCTCTTAACCACTGAGCCACCAGGGCTGGAGGAGTATAGGATGTAAAAATAACAGGCTTTGTCAACCTTTAGTTCTGAGGCTATTGACTCTCAGCTCCAACCCCACTTTTCTATATTCTGTGCTGTGATACTGATACTGACTGACCCTCTGCAAGCCATGTTTCTTTCTTCCTAGCTGGCCTCCTGTTAGATTCTTCCTACAGGGAGCACTCAAAGGAAACTCCAAGACTGAAGGAGGAAGAAAGAGACCCACATGCTTGCCGCTCTTGTCAACACCATCCCAGCAACAGAACTTTATCCTAGAAACAGTAATTGGCCCAGCTTTTTCCCATACTCCAAGAACCAGCCTAGTCATATCTTTCAGAAGTGCCAGCACCAGGTGGTCACCCCTACCTGTAAGGCAACTTCATGGAGCTCCTCCTTTGAGCCTCTGAGGTCCCAGCAACAACAAGACAATTGCCCTTCCTCAAGGTCAGGTCTCAGATTTTCAGGGTCTTTCCCCCAAGCTCCAAGACTCTGATAACCCCAACTTCTCTTTGTTTCCCCAGCCCTAGCAGCAGAAGCTGTTCCTGCAGTTCTACCTCTATGTTACATCAGTGTTCCCTCTTTGCTCTTTCAGTCGTCCAAAACATGTTTAATCAATTCTCTACATTAAATTCTTTCTCTTAAAATAACTAGTATGGTTTTTCTGACTGGGCCCTGACTGACAAAGTTCTGTAGAGATGTTTCAAAGCTAAACATAACAAGACTTCTCAATTAATCTGATATAAAATTCATGGGGTTGAGGATGACACACCTGTTTCTAGATTGGAAATTTGGCAGACTTTGAAACCTTTCACTGAAATGCAAAACACTCTAAGAAAAGCAAGATTAGGGAAGGGAAAGGAAGGGAAGAGATGATCAGTTCAGCTTTGTACCAGTTGTATTCAAGGGACCTGTAGCACATCTAAATGGAGATATCCAATAGGAAGTTTGATATATTGTTCTGGAATTTTAGAGTGAGATTTGGGCTAGAGATAAAGATTATGATAGTCATTAGCATATAGAACAGTGGCCTTCAATATAAGAAATGAAAGAGTTTAGATACCCTATTAAAGTCTGGTTTTTTGTTTTGTTTTGCTTCCTAGTCTTATAAAGTCCTTGGTTGCATAGGGTTATTTCTTCTGTAAATAACACGAGGACTTTTTTTTTCTTTCTTCATTTTTGCACCTTTTAGTGTTGACAATTGCTATCAAATCAAATAAGTTCTTTTGCTAATCAGAATGCTTGTGTTTCAAAGCTGTGCGCATCGGAGCCCTGCCACCTGTTTCTGTGATTCTCTTGCTTGAAAATGCTTTTTATATTGTTTCTTCACTTAAAATTAAGTCCGGGATTCAGAGGCCAAATTGCAATAATAATTGTCGTTTTACACTAATATAGGGTCTTTCCTTCCAAGATTTAAAGAATTTTGCCAAATTTGAAATCAATTTTGAATTTACCATTAAATAGGAAGTTTATTATAATGAAAAGGGAAATAGGGTCAGCCAGTCGGTAAAAAAAAAAAAAAAAAAAGTGGCATTGTAAGTTTAAATTTAAAATAGGTCATTTAATTGCTAAGTAAGATTGCTTAGCACTCAGGCAACACTTAACTCCTTGATAGGCTCTATTTCTGTGTCATCCTCCACTATTTACTTGCAGCATTAGTCACTATCATGCCACTTAAATGGAAACACAAAAAGTAAATATCATGCTCAAGGCCCCACCGTCTTTGGAACGCCGTGTTTTGTGTTTCCTAATTTTTGAGATATTTTAACCTATCTGAGACAAGGGAGTTTATTTATATTTCTTGGTAAAAACAGAAAAGCAAACAAGAAAGTAACTACACCACTGACAAATGCTATTGCATTGGATGACGGGGGATATAATAACCTACTTCTGCAAACTGTCCGCTACCTCTCCAGTGACGCAAGAATCTGCCAGATGACTTAAATGGTTAGCCTGATTCCGTTTTGTGGCAAAACCAGTTTCACAGTATGACATAAGCTATACTCTTTAGGGTGTGAGTAAAGTCTTCAGTACTCTAACCTAAGATGGCAGGTGCTGCCTACTTTAAACCTCGAACTGTAACTGTCTCCTACTCCCCGAGTATTTTAGGGTTTAAAAAAAGAGATGATTTATGAATACTCCCTTGGGTGCCTTTAATGTTCGTTGTACCACATTCTGTTCTGGGCCTATGAAATACAGCCTCAAGATTTTCTGAGTGTTTGGTTGATTGGTTCTATTTTTTAATGAGGGGTTTTTGTTTTTGTTTTAATTAAGCTTTTGTTAAGGTCAAGGCTGTCTGTCTTTGGTTTGCCAGATTCCTATTCTTTCCCTTTAGAAGGTGACCTACTTCCCCAGCTCATGGTAATGGCAGACCTTTTCAATCAACCATTTATCATAGAATAAGGCATGGTCCCAAGGAAATAGCTTCATGTACCACTTTATCAGATCAAAATATTCTCCTCTATCAATCATGAATCCACCAAAACAAGTGACCAGAACTACATAGGGCTGAAATAAGACAGTCAATTGTCTTGACTTTTTAAAATTGCTTGGAAAGTATTAAGAACGGCAGCATCTAAAAGTTAAAAACCATAAGTCAGTACTTCTTTCATGACCAACCATTTCATAAAGCACTTAACATACTAATCTATAGAAGTGTTTGTCCATTTTCATAACCACTCTTCCCCTGCCCCATTTTATATTTCTCATGCTCACAATTATGTTTTGAGCCTGCTGTGTGCTGCATTGTTTAGAAAGGCTAAATAAACAGTGACAGATAGAAATTCTCTATGACATTTAGAATATAAGAAACACCACAGATTTATTTTTTAGATCAAATTATATGTGATTTGAGACTTACTCTCCAAGGCTTTGAATAAATCCAATATTGGTCAGATTCCCTGGGATTTCCCTTCCTTGGGATTATAAGAACCCTCAAGGTCTGGCACACAGTAATCACTCTATGCATTTTAGCTATCTTTGCTATTAATATCATCCCTATCATTATTGTACATTGTGCTGAAGAAAAACTTGAGAGCTTGCTAGAATGTAAAGTCATCATAACCACATCAGAGCTAATGAATCAGAATCTTTAGGTGAGGGTCTGGGGACCTGCATTTTAATAAACATTCCAGGTAATTC